CTTTCTATTTTTAAAGTATCCCTTTTTCCAATGGTACCTCATCTTAGCGGCAGGCCTGCCTGGGCACACTGCATGCTCATAAGACTGAGCTCATCTGTACCTTAGCAGGATCTTAGAGTTGGAAATCATGAGCAAAGTGCAGAGCCAAAGGCTGGATGTGTTTCAGCGTGCTCTGCTTCTCCCCTCTGCAAGTGCCAGGCATCTCCCCTTTCAGTAGCTTTGGCAAGGGAATTGAGTGCCTTAACCTCCAACAATTCTGTTTTAAGGAAGCAAACAAAATAAAATAAAAAAAACTGTTTGCTGTCTGCTGGGAGCCAGTTTTAGGGTAGAGGATCTTGGTGGCTTCTCTCCTTGATAATTTTTGTTTCCTCTTGGGGGAAGTCCATTACCTTTCTTGTGGTCTGATTAGTAAAGAGGGGTGCCCGGAATTTCACCACTGAGTTGATTGAATTTAACATCTATGAGAATTTCCTGATGTTTCCTAAGGAAAAGGTGACACCACAGCCTTGGAGTGTCTGTTGGTACCACTTCCAAAGTCTTTTTCAGCAACGAGGAACAGCTGCGTGTGAGCCCCATCCAGAGCAGAGGAAAAGAATACATTACTGCTGTGAGACAGCAATCCCCAGAATGCTGACCAGCGTATGAAGCACGCTGGCCAAAACAGAGCAGCATATATTTTTGTTCTTGCTTTTTGGTCTCTTGCAATTGTGGTAGACATGTGCTGTGACGGTTGCACTCGTGATGCTCTCAGGTGGACAAATGGGAAGAAGGTGTCATTCTCTTACAGTTAGGTAGCATGCTTTTTGAGCTGGTCTTTAGTGATTTACTCAATAGCCTTGTCTTGTGCTCCTGTGCTGCTGCTGCTTGCTCGCTCTGCTCCAGCAGTTGCCTAACAAACCTTTCCCATGGCGTTGCTATGCTCCTGCTGGCTTAATGATGTTCACACACCAATAACAAAGTAAACAATGTCAAGCACTGCTAGAAATGCTGCAAAATTGGTTCTCCCTCGGCAAGGTCAGTCACTGTTGCAGCGACTCCTCACCAAGCTTGTTGGGAGGAAACATGAAGAATATGGAAATAAAACGTTGTGAATTTAGCATCTTTTTTTGAAGAGATTATTCTTTCAGAAAAGTTAACGGTTTCTAAAAATGTGTGAAAACATGTCCTTTTGGAGTTTGTACTTTTAAAGGAGGAGTAATCTCAATGCTCTAATTAAAGAAAGGCTCATTCTTCCCGCCTGGGACTAAATTCTGCAGACTGAAACATCACTGAGGGTACTTACACTGTTTCTAAACGGGTTTTCTAAAAAGCTTATGTAGCAAGAGGGCACAATGATGGGACTATGAGCAATTAGAGAAGACGACCATTTTACAGCCCCTGGAACTGATCGCATGGGGCCCCTGCGCAAGATAACGTTTGTAGGCCTTTTGGATGGAGTCCTACAACCTACACGGAATATTCCATGTGAAATAGTTGAAAGGCAGAGTTGGACACTGAAGCCGAGGAGAGAATTGGGCCTCTATCTCTTCTGAGAGAACAGCAAGGTTTTGTTAACTAGAGTCTCGCACGCTCATAACAGATTTTTGCATTGTTACACCTTGGGCTCACTCATCAGGAGTCGCAGAAAGGTGCGTGCAGGACTTCTGTTCTCTCTCAGGATTTGGGACTGAAGTTCTTAGGTTTTTTTCCCGCTCCTTCACTCTTTACATGTGACCGGGCGCTTGCTCCTTTAGCTCTTCCAAGATGCTGGAACTGGTCCTCCCAAAGTAAAGCAGTTGTGGAGCAGAGGGGTGGAGGAATCGAGGGAGATGTTTTCCGTGCTGTTAACTTTCAGCCTCACTGGACAAGGGATTGAGCACTCAATTCTGAGACAGGTGCAAGAGGTCGGTAATGCTGGAAGACAAGCGTGTAGTATGTTCATTAAATTATGTGTATGAGTGGAAAGATTTTAAAATGCTGCTTGCTTGCACAGATTCCCAGACTGGCAGGGATAATTGTTTGGCTCAGTCTTGTTGGTCTTTATTCTCACAGCTTTCTTCTGTGATCATGAGTGTAGTAGGAAAAAGCTACTGGAAATTAGAGTCTAAAATCACTTCTCTGGATGAAAACCAACGTCCTAAAAGGAAAAATGGAAACATAAGAAACCTGAGTGCAGCGCTCATTTGGAATAATAAACGCTTCTTAACGAAACAGGCAAAATGTACAAAATCAGAGTCCCTTCCCCTTCATAAGTAAAGGGGGAGCACCAAAAAACAGCATTATAATTTTTTTAATGTTATGAAGAAGTTGGCTCCAGAAACAAAATGAAAGAAAAAAAAAGGGAGCCAGGAGCCAAAATCAGATAACCCTGTGCTTTTGGGAGTCTGAAGCGAAGTGGCTATTGGAAGGTGAAAGCCCAGGCCAGGCTTTTCTCACCCTTGCAAAAATCGTGCTGGCTGCTGAGGGCTGGTACCTGGATCCACGTGAGGCTGACCATGGATTTACGTGAAATGCAGGATTTGATAGAATTCCATGCTGTTTGGTTTTGTAATAGAGCAAGTCATTGCTGGGAGTAATCTGGCCGATGCTGTGGCTGATTGGCCTTAGCTCCCAGTCAGTTCATGCTTGGTAACTGCTGATGTTAATCGTGGCTCCTTGGATAATACTTCTGTGCTGCTGTCACAGAGCAGCTGTGATTAGATTGTGATACTGCAGCAGCTGCTGTCTCGGATGGATTTACACCGTATATTTGCCCAAGCCCAGCTAGCACTTTGCTTGCCCAAGGTCAGCCTTGGAAGTTCTTATTCTTGAGCATGTGCGCTCCCCGGGAATAATTTTAAAAGCTGTGGCTCATGTTTGGCCTTCATATTCCTTCTGAGTGGCTCTGGCACTGTAAGAGCTTCCCATAACGCTGATGTAGATCTAAGGACGAAATGGGATATCTTTCCACGTTGAGGAACCGAGGACTGTTGCCCCGAGAAAGAGCTGTGTTTCCATGGAGCACTTTGCTGTGTTAGAAAGCTCCTTTAGAGTAATTAGTAAGCTGAAGTCCACTGGGGCCATGAGGTTGAACTCATCTCCAATCCCCTGGTTCCAGCCTAGGATTGGGAAACGCCTTAATACATATTTAGACTCAACTAGCGACAGGACTTAAGGTCTTAAAGTGAGCCACGTGAATTTCATACTGATTTTTCCAGATTTTGCCCGTATTGGCCTTCTCTGCAGTGCCAGAGCTCTGCGGGTTGGTGACGGGCTGCGGTTGCAGCGTTGTGCTGTTCTGCTGTGAGCTCTTCAGGGAAGAACGACCTGGTTTGGGGTATGTTGTGCAGCTCCAAGCCCAGCGCCGTTGGGCAGACTCAGTGTGCACGGTGCAGCGGAGCTCTGTGAAGCTCTAGACAGCAGCTTGTTTTGGTGAATGCTGCATGGTCTGCAGCGGTGAGGGTATGGAGTGTTTTTGCTAGCCTCCACGGCAGCTCACCGAATACCTGGCCTCCCGTGGTGCCTGAATCCAGTCTCGTGTGGGGCAGGTGAACCTCATAGGCAACTAAAATTTCCTTCTGAATAGCAGCTTTATTTCTGAAGCAGCTTGGAAACAGAGGATGTTTCCCTCCCTGAATGCTGATAACGACTTCAACTTGCCAATGCAGGAGGTTTAGTTTCGCTCCCTTTAAGAAAGCATACCGTGTCTGTGACATACCTTATTGCTCCCAGGTTTTTAAATTTTTTAATTTTAAGGCTATATTAATTTTCTCATTGTCATTTCTATTTTTGTATGCTAGAATTTCTGTCAAAGGGTTTTTGACTTAAAAAATGTGAATGTGTCAAATGACACATTGACATCCTCGTATTACAGGGACTCCCCTCTGAATCTTACTGCTTCACCCCTCTGCTACCTTACGAAGCGACGCTTTGTCCCATGGTCCATACTCTCTTCATAAACTGTTTTGTGGTAGGCTTAAACTGTTTTATGCTTATCTGAGCCCAAGTGTTTAGTGAATTATTGTTTATTCCCTTCTATCTCCTAGAGTGTGAGCCCATAGAAGCGATAGCGAAGTTCGACTACATTGGCAGGACTGCACGAGAGCTGTCCTTTAAAAAAGGAGCTTCTCTGTTACTCTATCAGCGGGCCTCAGATGACTGGTGGGAGGGACGCCACAATGGAATTGACGGCCTTATTCCTCATCAGTATATCGTCGTTCAAGACACGTATGTTACATTTTAAGTCCGTCTGCAAGATGGCTTGCTTAAAAATCAGGTGTGGAATGGAGTATTTGTGTCGGGATGCTGACACCACGTGGGTCAACTTTCCCTTCAAGAAGGAAATCTGATTAAAACAAATAGAGCTCCACAAAAGCATAGGCCTCCACTTCTGTGAAAGTTCAAAGTTTCAGTGTCTTTGTGATACCAAAATAGATGCTGCCAGCCTGATAAAGAAGCAGAGCTGGGACCTCCAAGTTGCTTACGGAAATCAGGCCCTCTAATTTGAAAGATGTGTAATGATTCTTAAGAAAAGGACGTTTAGCATAGTGTTGTTGTATGTATGGTTGCATACATAGTGCTGTATGTAAAATTCAGTGCTTTTGGTACTGTTTTGGTTGTGATTTCCTTCCCTCCTCCTTCCTAGTGAGGATGGTATCTCTGAAAGATCCAGCCCGAAGTCTGAAATAGAAATAAATTCTGAGCCAGCGGAAGAAAAAGTGACTGCCAGAGCTGGTGCCAGTTGCCCAAGCGGGGGTCACGTCGCAGATATTTACCTTGCGAACATCAACAAGTAAGAGCAGCCTTGTGTTATTTTACTTAATTATAAAGATCTTGGTGATGAGTCCAGTAAAATATTTCCTTTCCTGAGAAAGGTTAACAACTGAGCACTGCTACCATTTTTCTTTGCTTTCACCTCTTCTAACTTGCTTGCATTTTGCTGTCCTCCTCCCTCTTTCACCTATGTGGCCAGTGTTCATTTAAAATCTCAACTGGCTTCTCTTCCCTCTCCCTAAGGTGCTCTCTGTCCCAGTCCCATGTCCTCTTTTATAAGATAAACATACTGAGAAAGAGGGAGATTGTGGAATGAGTTCTTGTAATCATGTGTCCTCATTCCTTATTATGCCCCTGTGATTTGCTATGTCTCGTTTACATTTAATGTGGTTTGCTTTATGGGATGGGGACAATCTCTTCAGAAATTAATATCATATTTTGTGTTAAATGACACACCTTAAATCCCACAATCTGGTGTTGCCGTTAACGTTTTTTCATTTCTCCAGTGCTTTTCACCTTAGGCAGGTTACTAACCGTACGCTTGCAGTAAAACAACACATCTCCCCGTTTCCCTTACTTTACGTGCTGAATGAGAAATTGTTGTCTTAACCAACAGTCAACTCGATTAAAAATCACGAAAATTAAGCTAGTAAGAGATTAAGTTTCTTGATCTTTTATTTATGTTAGAGCAGACTGTCCCCCAAATCTTTCTGATTATTTCCTTACTATTAAAAAACCTCCCTTTGTGCCCTGAAGATATTAATTGGTTTTATAGAAGTGGATATTTTTAACTTTTGGTTAACTTAACAGAGTTTAGTCGGTAAAGGCAGTAACAGAAATGCATTCTTTTAAAAGATCTGGATCAGCTAGTGTCCTGCACAGAGCCTGATCCTCAGGTTGTGGGAGCCAACAGAGCTCTGCTGATGTGCAGATTAGTATAGCTTCACTGATCAGTTTGGGATCTAATCTTTCTTTTATGATATTTATTTTATGAGCCATTCAAGTATGTCATTCTGTCAGTTATGGAAAAGTTTGTATAATGAACAGACCTATATTGGAGCCTCACCATCTGCTGTTTGGTAGTGTGTTGTTTGTAGGAAGCCTGGGTAATGTTTTTTTTTTTTCCCTTTACTAGGGAAACTGATATTTATCAATGGTAGCATAAGACTCATTTTGTTGTTTTTTCTTTAGGAATGAATCTTCTGACCTATGTGTGAACAGACTTGGGCAAAATTAAATCAGATGGTTTCGCAATGACAGTTGTGCTACCCACTGAATTATTATTTGGATGCCAAAATCCTACTGGAGTTTAACACTTTCTTGCAGTTATTCCTGGGGCTGGTGCTATATATAAATGGATATTTCCCTGTATAATGGATGCCAAGCTTCAGACCTATGGCATAAAGTATTCTTGCTACAATGGCCTTTATATAATTTGAATGGAATCATGCTGTCAGACCACATGCTGCTGTGGTAGAAAGTAAATTGTTTGGACCAGCTCATCCATTTGACGTCATCTTTTGGTATATCTGTAGCCCTATATAGATAGTGCCTCATGGTCTCACTAAAGCACTGGAAAAAATGCACCTCTTACCACCAGCATACATGGGAAATGGTTCTTAACCCCAGACTATCTATGGGGTTCTTTGCTTGCCAGTCTCTGAAAATAACAACTTGATGCCTTGGGCCGGGAGCTTAGTAGACTTATACTGTGTCCTCCTCCAGTCAAAAATTGTAGCTCTGCTCTTCTAATGTAATAAAAACACATCATCAAAACCTGTTGATGGCACAGAGGGTTTTTTTGTTCAAATATAAAATCTTTACTTCATGACCAACTCAATTACTTTCCATCCAAGTTTTCTGGTTTTGCTATGAATGTGCACAGCTGCCAGAAATTCAGTCTTGTTATTAGAAGTGTTAAAATGCAATGATTTACTGTTTCACAATGACTCCCTAAAATTCTGGGTGTATTTGTAATCTGGACATCTGTATGTCTCTTCCCGTTGTCTCCTGTGTTGTTTTGGGGGGATGTCTTCAAGTTACAGCCCATCATGTATTCCTGCTTGTATTGACTTGTTTTGCTTTTGTGACTGAAGGCAAAGAAAGAAACCAGAGTCAGGCAGCATCAGAAGAGCCTTTCGTCAAAGTGACAGCCACGGACTAGGTAGTTCAATGGCAGAACCAGCCTCCCCAGGAGCCATAGCCGGTTCCAGACCCTCATCTCAGCCCATTATGAGCCAAAGCCTTCCCAAGGAGGTTCCAGATAAATGTTCCATCAGTGGCCACGGCAGCCTCAATTCTATCAGCCGACATTCGTCCCTGAAGAACAGGATAGACAGCCCGCAGATCCGGAAAACTGTGACAGCAGGGAGGTCAAAGAGCTTCAACAACCACCGGCCCATGGACCCTGAAGTTATTGCACAGGTAAAACAGAGTGTTCTACCTTAAGGATTATTTGAGCATAGTTAAAGGGTATTGGATACAATGAAATGTTTTAATGCAAAATCTGAATTAATCTTTTAACTTATATGCCTTTCCTTCTAGCCATGCAGTATTAATTTACTACACAGCTTGAATCTCATCTTTTAGTCTCCCTTTGTGTAAGTCACTGAGACTGCTTTCATGAGTGAAGATAAACAGTCAGGTCCTTACTCCATAAAAACTTGGCCTTGTTCATTATTCAAAATGTAGTTTCAACAATAAAATCGTCCAGTACAGAAAATCACACAGATTCCAAAGCTGTCAGCAAAAAATTAAATAATCTAAACTTCAAGACATGAGAAAAGTGAAGTAGTTAGTGTCAGTTTAACATTATGCTCTCAGTTTAGCAGGCTTGCCTGTGGTCCGACCCTGGAAGCACGTGTAGCAGCTGCTGCTGAGCTGAAGAGTGTGCACAGGGCCATCTTTATATGCTCATAGGGCTCCGTGGGTGATTAGAAACCAACTTTGGACATAATCCTCCTACTTTTGATTAGTTATTTAGACAAGTGCCTTGAAATGAGGGCAGGATACCAATGCGTATACAGCTGTGCTTCAACTTCACAGAGAAAGTGCTCTGCTTTTGGGACTAACTCCACATACTGACCATATGACAAGGAAATAGCCGGCTCAAATTGATCTTTCTGTTCAGCTTAGAGGGAAAGGTGTTATTTTTCTTGGTCTTTGCTAGCTTTGGCACGGACTAGCTACTTACAGATTCTTCACCTCTGTGCTTGTTGTCTGCATCTCTATACGCACAAGTCTGTTCCATCCTGCTGTTTGGGACCATAAGCTGCCACAGCAGTAGTGACTGGTGTCAACAAAAAGCAGCTGATGTTTTTTTTGCATCCATACATCTGTGGTTTCACAAGTAGAATAGAAAACGTTTGAAAGTCAGACCTAGAGATTTCGAGAAGTGACAGCTACTAATGGGGTGAATGATATAAATTTTACACATCTCCCTGTTCCCTGAAGGATCTTCCCCCTCTCCCATTCCAAACTGTTAGATGTGTCTGCACACGTATGCTTGCCTATACCAACTGTTTTCGGTATGTGATGGATCTATCTAAAGCCAAGGAATGCCTGGATCTCAGATTACAAAGTCAGCTCTGAGTAACTTGACTTCTTTGCCTCTTTTGGTTCAGAAGTCTGTAGATTTCTAAACAGCTGGGGAAGATATGTGAAAATTAAGCACCATTTTCATTGACAAGGCAGCCACATCAAGTAATGAATAAACTGCAAGTAAAAATCTGATTCGTATTCTGATGGAAAATTGTATTTTGCCCTTATGAATATCTTTAGCCCGTTTGCTTCAATGAAATTATAATATGTAGTTCTCATCACCTTCATATTTCATTGCCCTTCTAAGGCTTTGGTTGACAAAAATCAGTTCTTTGCTGAACTCTTAACTGAAGTTGTTCTGTGTCCTCTTCCTGCCAGAATATTAACTCCATTTTTGCACGGGAGAATAGTCTTAAAAAAAACAAACAACAACAAAGATAGATGTTAATTTAACATTTCTCTTTGGTGCCCCATAGTATCTGTTTAAACACCATCTCATAACCATCGTACATTTTACGTATTTTCCCTAACTTCATCAGTAAAATCTGCTTTGGCCTCCAGATAGACTTGGAGGTGTCAGATTACTGTCTCCGGTTTCTTCCACCGTTCCTTGACTGATTTACCTTCCCCACCCCCTGAAAAGCCTCTAAGGAAGCTGAAAAGCTGTAGCCAAGCTGTGAGTCACGGAAAGGCGAAGCTCTTCTCCTCTCCAGCGAGCTCTGTGCATCCGTGGGCTCCAGAGTGCAGGCTTTAGCAAATATGTAGGTCTTGATACAGTTGAGAACAAAAGCCTACGTCTTTTAATCTCAAAGTTCTCTCTATATTTGTTTGTTGATAACTGTAATATTTTTGTGAGAGGAAGGAGAGCTACCAACTCGAATTTTTATGCATGTTTGTGATATTTTCTGTGTTTTAAAAAACATTGAAATTTTGAGTCCCATGTAGTATCCTTACAGAAGAGAAGGCTACATGTATATCAGCAAAACCAACAAAGCAGCAAGAGCACACAATGATTTCAGTCTTTTAATTTAAAAGAGTTTTTGGCCCATCAGCCAGTGTCAAAAAAAAATCAGCCTTGTGTTTCCCTTCCTTTAAGGACTTACTCTCCTGAATCTCGCGTACCAAATAAAGCGCAAGAAAGGGTGCTCGTATTTTGAGCTGCACGCTTTTCTGTTCATAGCGATGTCTTAGAATTGGATTTGTCGTTGAAATGCAAGCAGAATCAGGAGACCTTGGGATCACTAAAGGACCAGACTCGCATTAAAGAAAGCATAACAATTATTTTACTCCCTAGCAAAGAAAAATACTGCTGTTTATTGACTTCAGTATATAGTGCCATGTAGCAAGTACAGTTTGGCGTGGGTTTCACTTTGACACCTAAAGGTTCTTGACTTCCCAATTGCGTTGAGCTTTGGTGTTTACTGACTGAAATCCAAAGACATAGCTCTCTGAGACTGACTCTTATCTGCTTATTTATGAGTCTTGGTTCAGTGATTCACTTGGTTTCTCTTTTGTTTTTGCAGGATATTGAGGCGACTATGAACTCTGCTCTGAACGAGCTGCGGGAGCTGGAAAGGCAAAGCAGCGTAAAGCACACGCCAGATGTTGTCCTTGACACCCTGGAGCCTCTGAAAACCTCTCCAGTGGTGGCCCCCACCTCCGAGCCCTCCAGCCCCCTGCACGCTCAGATCCTCAAGGACACTGAACCCGCTTTCCAGCGGAGCGCTAGCACAGCCGGCGACATCCCGTGCACCTTCCGGCCAGTGAAGTCGGTCAAAATGGCCACCCAGGTTAAACCTCCAGCAACAAGGCCGAAGCCTACAGTTTTCCCCAAAACTAATGCCACGAGCCCTGGCGTTGCCTCTTCAGCATCTCAGCAGCCTACTGACAAGTCCTGTACTGTCTGATGAACTTGATGCTGCACTGTGGATATAACTATACTGTTTCAGATGGAGAGACTATATTGAAGAGACATTTAAATTCCTATTTAACTAATTTTTGAACTTCTGCTGAAGGTCGATTGTGAACTGCTACTTACTGCTGGGAACGCTTCCTGGGAGTGAAATATTGGTAACTAAGCCTCGTCCCATGTACCCGCATCAGTGATGTTTGTAAGGCAAAATAGGACATGCCACACTTAGGAAATCCAATATCGGGTCACTGTGAAGCTGAGGAGGAAAACACAAAGTGATCAGTTGGATCTTGGTTTCTAGTTGATGCTTTGTTCCAAGTGATTGGCCACTGAAAGAAATATTTAGTGGCATCATGTTTTGAATACTGGTGTAGTGACTTATATATTCTGTGTTTCATTTATCACAGGGAAACAATAGGATAGATTTTAGTCTACTGCATGTTTTGGTGCCACTAGCTACGTGGAGCTTGGACATGCCTGTTTCTTGTGCATTATTTCGTTGCCCGCTGGTGCCACTGTGGTTAAGGGTCTGTCTCAACTTCCATTACATCCTCCGTTTTTGTTTGTTTGCTCCCTCATTCCTCCCCCAAGGGCCAAAGCTCTTAGCCATCCAGCCTCCTCCTTTAGTTGACACTTGTCACGACAAATAGTTTACTCTGGAACACTCTTAGATTTTGTGGAGTTGTACGTAGTATGTGTCTGTGCAAATATAAACAAATATGCCCCTGAGGTTTAGGAGCATAAGAAAGAGCCCAATTGTTGCTTATGGACAATCTAGCTGTCTTTTCCCCCTTTACTCTCCCATGTTTAAGAACAGCTTTATTATTTTTCAGTGTAATTTTCAGCCCATAGGCTATCATGTGGTGTGTGGTCTTGGGAGACTGAATGTAAAAACGATTTAACTTTTGCAAACTAGCTAGCGTACTCTTATGGGAGTTCATTTACTAACGCACACGTTCTTGTTTTGATCACCTATCAAGATGGGTCCTTTCCAAAATCCCAGTTACAAGCACTGCAAAACTTCAATCAGAAGTTCTCAAGTTTTGTATCTTCTCCCAGGTTCTGGTTGTAAATGCTTTGGTCAGTGGCTGTGACCACTGTGAACTGCTTTAGGGATCCCCGCTCTTATAGAGCGGTGTAAGAAGTGCTGCTTGGGACCTTGACGTGGCAGCATGCAGCTTCTGGAGTGGCTTCACTGCATATTTCTTTGGTAGACTGGCATGCCTTCCTAGGACTCTGCAGACATTTGAATGAATTCTTAGTATATATATTTATACAGTAGACGGCAAGTGCTTCAGCCGCTAGCAGGCTGCATGGACTCTTTTGTACTCTACTGAGAATTTCCAGAATGCTTACATTTATTTAATTTTTAAGCAAGGCATGTGCCACTTACAACAGCAAAGAAGATCTCGCAGTCCCACGAGGGAGGAAACTCTCGACTGATCCTTAGTTCCCAAGCTTTTCTGGGACTTAAATAGTTGCACATCTTAAGTTGTCATCAAATAAATTCAGGCAAAGACAAGATAAGTTATTTTCCTCTTCCTTTTAGGTGAATTTCTTTTGAATTTGTGAGTTTCTCACACTTAGCTTCCTTGTGAGTGTAATGCCATTATAATGGGCACTTAGTAATTTAAAAAAAAAAGAAGCAGCAAACAGAATTTGCATTATTAAGAACAGTTTTTCCTTAAACATACTTTTTTGATTCGTTTTAAGGATGTTACTTGGAGCAATTTACAGGGTTTTATTGTCCCTGTCTCCCCCCACCCCCATTTCTACAAAAGTAGTATCCATATGAATGATGTTTATTGAAAGAGGCCAACTTTTCTGTGCCCTAAATTAAGAACATACGGAAAATTTGTGGGCACCATTAGAAAGGGAACACCGGAAAGATTTCAGTGAGACCATTTTCATTACTCATTTTTCCCAAACTGATTCGTAGCAGCAGTTCTCTGTGGGAAGCACTGCAGTGTGTGCGTGACTCCTACGGGGTCTTGCCCTGTTCGGCTCTCAGGGGAAGATCCCACCAGTGTGACCAGCGAACTTTGCTCTCAGGTTCTGATGGACTCCTGCCACCAAGGAATCACTTGTTCTTTTGGGAAAAAAGAATTAAAACAAACTTGTAATTTTTTGCTCAGGCAGAACTTTCTGGCATTTACTTTAAGTAGGGAATTTTTTGTTTCATTTTGTTGGGTCATAGATGGCCAAAGTGAATCCGTGTCAAGAGCAGGATCTCTGTAAACTTACTTTGACTCATTTGTAATGCCTTATTTTCTTTATATTTTTATGCCTAGCATTCATGTTTCTAAGAATCAGTGTCCAGCCACACACAGCACATTTGGAGAGGAGATACTCTTTTCTGTCTTCGGGGGTCTGAAGTATGAATGGAAAATGAGATCAAAAAGACTTCAGGTTACTATAACAGCAACTGTCTGTATATGGAATTACTGTGCTTATCTCTAGCATCCACAGCTCTGGGACAATCCTACTGTCAAGGGGAACATACTTAGCAGGACAAACTGTATCTTGAGCAACTCAACTGGAATTTTGGTGTGCACTGTGATTGACACTTAAAACTTACAGCAAGCAATATGGCAGTCTGAAGAACATCTTTTCTCTTCCATGTGATCTGGGCCTATCCAACCAGCAGGAAACTCACACACATGCGCACATACACAGGAGGGAAAAAAAAACAAAAAAAACCCCAACTTTTAGCTTGTCTGCTTCACTTTGCGAACGTTCAAGACTGAGAGAACCTTTGCCGTAAGTGTTTCATTACCGTTTGTTGCAGGAGAGGTGGGAAGGAGAAACTGGAAGTATCGGCACCACTCTCCATCAGACCAGTGGGCTTCTTGTAGAAGAGACCAATGTATTGTGGACAAATAAGACACGGTGGTTTGCTTGGGGAGGTATAAATGTTACTTCATATCTTCATATTCAGAAGGAATATTAGCTCTTCCATGGAAATTCTTTCATGACTTTTATGTAATGTATGTGTCAAATATAAAGACAAGAAGTGTTTGATAACTGGAATAACGTATGTCTGTTTGATAGTGCTTTGTATGAACAAAGGATTCTTGTTCATCAAATGTTGGATTGGAATAATCCAAAGCAAAACTTTTAAAATAAAATACAATTTTAGGCCATGAATCTTAATAGTTTTTGAAGCTCTAACCTTGTATGTTTTACTTCCCTAGTTGGGAATTGAGCGGTGTGCTTTAATGATTGCTAAATTTCTTCCTCTCTGAGGTAATCCAAAGGCTCTCAGTTTATAAACTGTAAATTTGTTCTTCACGCTGAAGTAATGGGAGATGACCAAACTTTCTCATTTTCTCTGTACTGGATGTTTGTTGCAATGAACATGATTAGAGTGCACTGTGACAGCAGAAAAAAATTGTTGTATATGTATGTATTTTGATACCTGTTTAAAAAGAGTCTTTGGGTTTCCTGTGATGAATACCTCATATGTTGGGTTTGGGGGGATTTTGTTGTGTTTTTTGTTCTCTTTTTTTTTTTTCTTTTTTAAGGCAAGATTGTTCTTGCACAAAAGTAGGTTAAGGTAACCAAGTTCTCAGAAATGTATTTACAAAACAAAACACTTCAGACTTTGGCGTGAAATTCCATCTGCGTGAATTGCACACCTTGCACGTGGCACAGGGGAAGCAGTCGCCCAGCGGTGTTTGCCTGCCCATTCGGAAAAGCTCTAGCAATATCGAGACAAAGGAGGTCATTGCAGATGGAGTTTGCTGCCTTACTGCTTTTTCCTTGCATGTGTTAAACCTCAGAATCAGTTGAACATTGTGTAAGTTTTGGATTTTATTAAGTATTTGAGAGTGTTTTGTTTTTTTTCAAGAGAAATAAATGTTTCGAGTTAGCACTTCAGATGCTTTACATGCATTTACCAGATAGACTGGAATACTCTGTCACCAGATGAGATATGTACTGAGGGAATATTTAACCTAGATTATGGTCTCAGCAGGGCATACTTTGCCAGTAAAGCAACTGTAATAATGGAAAAATACTCATTGAGACAATTTGATAGATTTGGTAAAAGGTTGAGCACTCTGGCCCCTATCCAGCAGATCAGCAAGCACATGCTTTATTTTAAGCCCCGGAGTAATCCCTGTCCACATCCCTCTGAGGTTAAGCGTTTGTTTTGGTTTTGTGGCTCAGGTCAGGATATCTGTGCTTAGCAGGATCAAGCCCTAATTGTATGGGAGAGTGTGCTGCAAAGGGTAAATACATTTACTCGTTAGACTGTGAGCCACAAGCTAGGAAAACGGCAAAGCTGAAAGCCTCTGGGCCCTCCCATCACCAGTGAGGCTGCAGAGACCAGAAAATGAGTTTAACAAACTGGGAGGGAGGGGACGTTTATTTTGCCATTTTTAGTTTTCACAAAACTATTAACCCTTTTTGTGGGCTTATCTGGCGTTGACTAGCGTCCCGCACGTGCAGTAAGAGAAACGCAGATGTTTCTTTAGAGGACTGGAAGCACTGGAGGCCTGCACAGACAGGAACGATGTTTTCTCGTGTGTTAAAACTTCACGCCCTGCAGAAAGCTTCCGTCCTAGAGAAAAGGCCGAGTGTTACTGGTGAGCTGAACTTTTGGTTTTGAGCTAACATATCACTTCCGAAGATACTCCTCCCTTCGGGTTGGCTTTCTGCTCGTCTCTTCTGCGTGCAGCAAGCTGGTACTTGAACAGAATACTTGACCCGCTGCAGTGGGCTGGCGCAGGCTCCCGCGGGAGCCGCGACCGCTCGCCAGACGCCCTACGC